TTTTGTTGTTTCCTTTTACAAGACAACTACTACTTCGTACGATGATTATCTCAATGGGAAAATGAAGGTTTTGTTTTCTAGATGAAATTCTAAAAGTTTATCTTTAATTTGTCGATGGCATACTATTAAGAAGTTCTAACGTTATTAACAATAACATCTGGTTTTCATTTCGTAGTAAATGAAATTTCACAAAACATACTTGAAATCAACAAATTGAAAGTGGTTTAATTAGTATAGATATTCAATATAAAAGATTATAAAGATGTGAATGAAAGTAAAGATGATATGAGAGTATATTCAAAAAAAGATTAATAACTTGCCTGAGCAATTAATATGTTCGTATTACATTAGAACATGGTTTAGATTTTTATAACTGACAACAAAATTTATTTATTTTCTAGTAAACTATTTTTGAAATGACTAAACTAGAAAATATTTATCTTGCGACAGAAAATAATGATAGAAATGAAGATACACATACATGTATATTGAAAATCTATATCTTATTAAAACAAATAATCAACTCGGAGAACTTCCTACGTTTTTTTTACGTGATAGTGCAATATTTCAAAATAATTTTTGAAATTTTTATTGACTCTGTTTTCTGTTTAACTATTAAAGATACATTAGATCAATAACGATAGTTACCAAATGATGTTATTATATGGTAATTCATCTGAGCAAAGTTGATATTGTCCATCGTTCATGATGGAACCTTCGTAGATCGTCCATTTAAATTTCAATGCTATTTTTGTCTTGTAAGTGTTATTAGATAGAATTCTAATAAAAATCCTAAAAGAATTGCGCTTCATGTTAGGATATGACGAATCTACCCAGTTTTTAATATGTCGATTTCGTCACTGAAAATTCTAATTATAAAAACTATATTCTTTTAGATTGATAGAAGATTAAATCTTGTTGCACTTCTTCTATGAGAAAATAATCATAAAACTATGAAAAAGGATCTCTATACCTAGAATGACTCAAATCTCGACGAGGTTTTCTTCAAAACTTCTGCATTATTCTCATGGATACTTCTCTAATCGAGTTTTCTATGTACACAAAGGTTCAAATTCAAATTGAAAATGACGAGTTGTTCGAAAACCTGAAGTCTCTAGAAAGTAGAAAAGCACTATGGCTGAGTGGTTACGTTGCTTAACACATATTCAGAAGGTAATCGTCTCCTAGTGTCGTAAATACGTGATAACATAGGTTTGCTCTTATGGTCAATACACCTAGCTATTGTGTGTGGAGAGGTCAAACGATTGATTGCAACAACTTAACTTCACGATGGTTTTTCTTATTAAAGCTACGACTATTCATAGTTATAGGAAACGTATTGGGCTGATGAATCTAGCGCAGGGTAGTTATCACAGAGCAAAGAATCAATTCAGATTTCTTTTAGTTTTTTTTTTCTAATTTTTTTCACATAACAAAGTCTATAATAATTTGACTAACTTATGTTGATAATACGTGATCACTATTGAAATTCTCGTCTCGAATATGTATTTTTGTTTTGTTATTCAAAAATTGTTAATTACGGATCGATTATCAAGAGAAGATAATAAGTTTCTATCTCCAGTAAATAGTGAAAAACTTATCCACAATATTCCCGCTAATTAAAAGAGAAAAATCTGCATCTACAATTCTAAATCTTTTTTCTGTTTCTCCTACAAATTTTCTTTAGAATTACTGCAATTAAAAATTGAAACATGAATATACAATCAAAAAAAATCAATGAAAAAAGAAATCGTTACTCCAACTGAACCAATTTATCACGATCTTAAAAAATATACATATCAGTTAAATAAATATTTAATATTAACATTGAGTCATTAATATTGCTTGAAAAAATTCAAGGAATTTGACCAATTACGCACGTATTTCCGATTGATTAAAAGAAATTGTTTAAATATCGCTACCATCTAATGATTTAACACAAAAAGATTCTTTCGGTTTTGTTGTAAACAATTTTCGAGAAAGAAGTAATATAAGTGAATACGAATTGAGAAATTTCAGTGTAATTGTGATTATTCTTTATTTACTTAGTAAGACATACGTCAATGTTTCATATTTGCAATGCTTAATAAGATATTAAAAAGACCAGATACTGACATAGTAATAAAAATGAAGTTTTTTTTGTTCGAAATCTTCATGAACAACTTGAAAAATTACTTTGATGAATAGCAAAAATGTTAAATTAATAATTGCTAGATACAGAATTTAAAAAAAAATCGACATAATCTTTTGTTATTTAATAGTTTCTTGTCAAGAAACACCATATAAGATGATCATTAGATTTCACAGTATGTTTTTATTATTTAGAAGAAATATAATAAAAATACTTAAATCATTATTCGAAATCCAATCATATTTAACATTATACTAAAACTAGATAAATTTAGGTTTTTCTAATTTATTATAAATAAACATATAAACAGAATTGATTATAAAAACTTTATAATAATATCAAGTGTTCCAAAGAAATCATATTTTTCTAAGTATTTTTTAAAGGCCCATTTAAATTACCACATAAAATCGTTGTCTTTTTTGTTTTTCAATTTTGAATTATTATATTCAATAGCATCGAACTATATAAAACCAAAAGAACTGAGCAAACGCTTATTTTTCCTAAGTTCAACATACATTTATTTTCTCTCTTTTTCGTATGTCCGATATTGAAATATCACTCAACTCGTCGTCAAAAAGAACAAGACAAAAAAAATACCGACTTTTTATATTACATCAGACGGTCATCCGTTCAATATGTCTGTGTATTGATGGACTAGAATTTTTTTTCGTCAAATTCGTTTAGCTCGTATGAGAGAAAGACGATTTTTTTTCCTTTCTGCATATACTAATGAACAATCACGAAGGTACTGCACTTTGTTTTGACATTAAATATCATGACACAATATCGGTATGTAGTTTCTTTAATTGAGATATAAGAATTCTGCACTTAAATATAATCAGGTAATGTTTTTTTATTTTATATATTGATACTTTAGAAATAAATTAATCTTCTATCGTTAGTATCATTTTTATATCTCGAATTGTTTCATCTTAATTACCATCAACAATAATCCTACTCGAACTAGAATAAATGCGAAAACCTCGGATTTAAATCCGAGTGTTATGTGTACTTCAAAAAGTGAAAAGGTACATTCACTGTGCTTTTTATCACTAAATTGCAAGGAGCAAATACAGACGTGCTAAGTTAGCATGGATCATACTGTATGCNCAGAAGGCGATTTCTTCTTTGATTTTGTTCGACATTTAACTGTATGTTTTTATTCATTTAGAAAATAATAAATTTATTTATTTATTTATAATTTAGGAATGGATTAAAAAAACTAAACAACGTGAAGATCCACCAAAATATACTTATCAAATATTTTTTATGAGAAAATTATGGACTAATGCCGTACCAGGAAAAGATCGAATGGCTGATATTATATTTCATTATCATCAAGTATGAAAATAAAATTTGACAAAAAAAAAAAAAAAAAAACTTATATATCAAAAAATTCATTTGTTTGTATTATTAGGAACTTCCAAAATTAATTCGTGGTTATCATAAATGTTCAATTGATGATGCTGTTCAATTAGCCGCTTGTATATATCGTGTTCGATTCGGTGATAATACAACACTATTTGAAAATATTCAGTAAGAATAAATAATTTATAGTCTTTAGAACTTTTCACAATAGAATAACACATAAGTTGAAACTTTCATGTTAGATAGATCTCGATAAGTAAAGCAACATGTTTCATGTAGTCAATATTTTCAGATGTTTCCTCCTAGGAGATATCAGAGTCGCAAACGATGTAAGTCGTCCTGGTTTCTCAGTTGTAAGATATCTGACAGAGTTAAAATCTCTTTTTTTACGGATACTAGATGCTGTCTGAGATTTCTATTTCTTTCTGTCTTCTTCCATTCGAATAAAAAGGTTAATATATTTAATATACTTCAAGAATGCATGCTTCTTTTGTAAACTCTGCACAGTGTTCATTCAGGCAGCTATTAGGTGAAAAAAAACGGATCGATTCAAATCATACCCTATGCAATGGTATAAAAAAAAAATTAAGTAGAGTGCAACAACGCAAAATTCAAAAATTTCGCTGAGACCATTGCTATCGATGAGAAAAAAAATGTATAAGCAAATTACGGAATGGCTAATCAGGAAACAATTTGAAGTAGTTTGTTGCTTTTCATTTCATATTTTATTCATAAAAAACATACCTGTAAACTACGAAAAGTCTAAGATGATATAGGTCCATATTGTAGTTTGACTGAGATAGAGAAGTTTTTCTGAAATCGTTCTGTAGGGCTCTGGTTTTCCAGTGAAGTCATCTTTTGGAACTTTGCACATATCGAAACTGGAACTGAGCTAGCTTGTAGAATAGTTTCACATAGCATAACTAACATATGAATTGTTCAAAATATCGGCGCTTTTTCATAGCTACTGTATAAAATGTTAATATTCTGAAAAATTCATATGTCGGTTATGCTGTGTGACACAGTTTTACAAGCTAGCCTAGTTACAGTCTTAATATGTATAAAGTTCGAAACATATGATTGTATTGAAAAGCTGAGATCCTAAACGAAGATTTCAGTAAAACTTCTCTATCTGAGTCAAATCATAACATGGACCAATATCATCTTGGGCTTTTCCTAGTCAATAGATCTGGTGATCTCCTTAGCGCCAATACAAGGTGTCAGAATACTTTGTTTTTTCAAACTACAAAGTATTTCTATTAAAAATCAATGGTATATTTGAAATCAGCGCTCTAAACTACGTATATTGGATAATATATAGTACAAGAGATTGTCCAACCAAAAACCATGTGAGCAAAAGTTCCGCTCAAGTGTTTTTCACCGAAAAATTATTTATTTTCTGTCTGCTATGTGAAAAATGCAAACTGTACACTGACAAAAACCAACGATACATCATATTTTAAAATAAAAATAAAAGTAAAGGGTAAAGTCTCCTTTAGCATAAACCAATTTTGAGGTTTTTTTGGAATCTAGTTCAGTCTGTTGTTAACATTATAATTTCAAAATATAGATAGTATAAAGCCTTAAAAATCTGTTTTATTGGAAGAAGCATGATCGTGAATTAAGTCACAATTAGCATCTTAATTCGAATTGATTCTTCGATTTTTTTTATCTCAACAAACATAAAGTTATTAATTTAAAAATTAATTTTAGATTAAAAGATTTCCTTCCGGCTGATCTTGTTGACAAACTTCCGTATGCTGAATGGCGAAGGGTACCTTTCATAATAATGTTTTGTTTTTCTATTTTCTATTGATTTATAATTTAAATTTTTAGCGAATTATTGCTGCTCATGCTGAATCACGTAATTTATCACCTGAAGATGGGAAAATAAAATTTCTTAAAATTCTTTATCAATGGTCAACATTTGGTTCCGCATTTTTTGAAGTGAAAGTATGAAATTTAACTTTTTTTTCTAATGAAAAACGTAATACTCTAAAAAATAAATTCTTTTTTTTTAGCAAACATCTGATCCAACATATCCTGAACAATTATTAATAGCAATTAATAAACATGGTGTAAATTTAATTCATCCAAAATCCAAAGACTTATTAATCACATATCCATTTACGAGTATCTCAAATTGGTCTAGTGGAAATACTTATTTTAATATGGTAATATATTTCATTGTGAAACAAAATACGATTTTATAAAATGATTTTCTTTTTTAGACTGTGGGTGATATTGTTCGAGGTACTCGTTTATTATGTGAATCCCCATTAGTAAGTTTTGTCTTGTAATTTAAAATATAATGTTTATAATGCTGTTCTTTTTTCAAGGGTTATAAAATGGACGATCTTCTGACATCATATATAAGTTTGATGGTACAGACTATGCATCGTCAATCAACAAATGCATCTTCTTCACGACAATAATAGTGCTTTTAATTAGCGTTTATTTATTTATTTTTTCTTTTCTTTGTTGTTCGTAAGCGTGTTTTTAATTTGACATTTTCTTTTTCTTTTTTTTTAATTTGATGATGATAATTTATATGTATCTATTTGTGGTACTATCTATATATATTCTCAATAACGACGATTCGTTTTTTCTGTTTTGTTTCTTTTGCTATACAGATTTTTGTTTGAGTGTTTGTGAAGAAAAACTCAAGAGATGACTTTTTTCCTTTTTTTTGTTGATTGAAAAGAATTAATAAAAAAGACCTGCAAGAAAATCATACAAAAGTGATCGTAAGATGAAGAATTGAATTTTGAACAAGTGAACGTAACATGCTTGTTTGTTGGTTTTGTGGAAACGTGATCGGTATACAGTTTTGATATGTATAAAGGATGCAACAAACAGATGTTGTGATTAAATTCTTTCTCACAATAGAAGATCTATGTTATGAAAACGGTTGTTCTTTACCTAATATGTTTAGCAAGACTATAAAGAAATAACAAGATTTCGTTTGGATAAACAACAAACCGGAAATGAAATTCGTATACATATATATATATATATACGTATATGATAGTGTTACATTGTTACTCGCGTTAATAGTAGAGTTCTGTTCATTACTGAAGCAATACATTAGGACTAAATGTCTCCTAAATCTAACAAATCATGCAACTACGTAAATTTAATAATTGATTTCATTAAATAACTCTTACTAAAAAGAATAATAAGAAAAAAATATTATTTCAATAAAATATAAAAAACAAGAAAAATGAAGCTAAATAATGTAAACATGCTCGACTAATACTCTTGTTCTATATCAATTAAGATTTATACTTCGTGCTGTATATAAATCTATTTGTAATTTATATTTATATAATATAAAAATTAATTATTAAATTATTTACCTTTTGATTCGTGTTATTTCTAATTGATTATTCGATTCTTGTTGTCTTTGTTGATTACAATCAGCATCTAAAGTCATTGAATGTAAATATTTAATGAATGACATTTTTATAATATTGATATATTCTTTTCCAAATGCATATGTTGGAGGGAAAATTAAAATCCAGGGCAATTTAAAATTTTCCTATGGGAGATTTAAATTTCAATCTCCTCTAGGGCAAATTAAAATCACTTTTTATTCTGTGTATTTGGCAAGTAAAAATTGAAGCTTTTAATTTTTCCACGCTGAGCCTGAGAGCAATGTGGCGGTGTAGATGAGGGAGGGTGATGATCAGGATGAGGGTAAAAGTGGAAGCGTGACGGTAAGGGTAATATTGAGCTTTATCGTGTTTTTCTTCTTTTCACCAAGATCTCCATCCTCACACTCCCTCCCGCTTACAATCACCCTCGCTCTCATTCACGTTCACCCCCACCCTAGGAGAAACTAAAATCCGGAATTTTTAGTTGTACAATACACAGAATAAAAAGTGATTTTAATTTGCCCTAGAGAATATTGAAATTTTAATTTCCCCTCCAACAGTTATATTCATTGTACGGCATGTAAATGGAATTAAAATTATTTAAACTATATAATATATTCAAAGAATTCTATCCGCGAATAACATGATGATATCATTTGCAAATGAATTTTCTTTCCTTATATAAAATCATGTTTCGAGTATGAACACATGTTGTATTTAAGTACGTAATCACGAGTTCATAATGTTTCCGTTTTAGTTATCTTAAAATTTTTTAGAGGATTTCAGTGTTTAGTTCTAGATCGTATTATTTCAATTAAACATGAAATCAAATCAGTTTTAAAAATGAATAAAAAGAGTTAATTATTGAAAACTAGATAAAATAAAAACTGGATGCCGTAGTTTTTTTTGTAATTGTGCTTATCTCATTTTATTAGTTTTATGTTTTCATTATAAGGGACATCTTTACAATTTGCCATCGAATCTACTGATATTTGATACTTACCTTCCTTATGACATCGAAGACTACGATGAAAACGATAAATCTCCTAAAGAATCGCTTGGTCTTGGTGATTTCACTGTTTTCAATTTTATGATCTTATCTACTATACATCCAGCTTGGTCAATGACAACAAAAATTTCTGTGGCATTGGGATGCATAGTCTCTATACACGTCGCTCGTTGCTGTACAAGACTTATTGCCCGTATGTGGCATTTACGTGGTATGCTTCGTTTACCATGTTCTGTTGTTGTTTTTCTATGTACACTATAATTGTTGATTTTATTATGAATTATAAAACTATGGATTGTATTGATGTATGAATTTATACAAAAAAATTTATTTTACAATAAATATCGATGATATTAATCCCTTTGTTGAACATATAAATAAAATTATTTTTGACAAAGCACCATGTTACAGGCCTCGAAATGGGCCAGTTTTTCATAGTCCAAAGCGGTCCAACGATACTTGAAGCCCACCAGGCCAAAAATCCACTTTTGCTCGGCCCCGAAGGAAATTCCATTTCAATAGATTTTTTTCCAATAAAATTTGAAGATTGCTTGAGTAATTGTCAATGTACTTAGGAGCCAATAACTCACGTTATAACAGACTTGATTAGTTCAGATTGCCGCAAGTGAAATAAAACCAATGCGAGATGAGTTTAAGTACTTGTTGACTCAAACGAACAAGCAAAGTATACGGTAATGTGCTTTAATCGAATATTGATCATCATGCATATGCAAACCACTGCCTGCTGTTAATAGATGTTAAAATTAGTGAAAAAGACATCGTGGTAGACTATCCAAGTCTAAAAAAAGGGTGTGGGTGTAAATTTTGATCTAGAAGAAAGAATAGCCCACCCACACCCACACCCACCACCCACTCACACCCTGAATATACAATCAAAAAAAATATAAATGAGAAAAGAAATCGTTACTCCAGCTGAACCGATTTATCACGATCTTAAAAAATATACGTATCAGTTAGATAAATATTTAATATTAACATTGAGTCATTAATATTGCTTGAAAAAAATTCAAGGAAATTGACCAATTACTCACGTATTGCCGGTTTATTAAAAAAAAATTTTGAAATCTCGCTACCACCTAATGATTTAGCATAAAAAAATTCTTTCGGTTTTATTGTAAACAATTTTCGAGAAAGTCATATAAATGAATACGAATTTAGAAACTTTAGTGCAATTGTGATTATTCTTTATCTACGTAGTAAGGCATACATCAATGTTTCATATTTGCAATGCTTAATAAGATATAAAAAGGCCAGATATTGAAATACTAATAAAAATGAAGTTTTTCTGTTCGAAATCTTCATGAACAACTTGAAAAATTACATTGATGAAGAGCAAAAAAAATGTTAAATTAATAATTGCTCTTCACTAGAAATGTTAGATACGGAATTTTAAAAAATAATCAAGGTACTCTTTTATTATTTAATAATTTCTCGTCAGCAAACACAATATAAGAAGATCATTAGATTTCGCACAGTATGCTTTTATTATTTAGAAGAAATATAATAAAAATATTTAAATCATTATTCGAAATCTAATCATATCTAACATTTTATTAAAACTAGATAAGTTTAGGTTTTTCTGATTTATTATAAATACATAAACAGAATTTGATTATAAAAACTTTACAATAATATCAAGTGTTCCATAGAAATCATATTTTTCTAAGTATTTTTTAAAGGCCTATTTAAATTAACATATAAAACCATTGTCGTTTTTGTTTTCAATTTTGAATTATTATATTCAATTGCATCATTTTATATAAAACCAAAAGAACTGATCAAACGCTTATTTTTCCTAAATTCAACATGTATTTATTTTCTCTCGTCCTTCATGACTAATCTCTTTTTCTCTCTTTTCCGTACGTTCGAAATTGAAATATCACTCATCTCGTCGTCAACAAGAGCAAGACAAAAAAAAAGAATAGCGATTTTTTATATTACATCCGACGGTCATCCGTTCAATATGTCTGTGTATTGACGGATTAGAATTTTTTTTCCGTCAAATTCGTTTAGCTCGTATGAGAAAAAGACAATTTTTTTTCTTTCTCGCATATATCAGGGAACAATTACGAAGGTACTGCACTTTGAGATGACATAAATTATCATGACACAATATCGGTATGTAGTTTTTTTAATTGAGATATAAGAATTATGCACTTAAATATATAATCAGATAATGTTTTTTGTTTTATATATTGATACTTTAGAAATAAATTAATCTTCTATCGCTTGTATTATGTTTATATTTCGAATTGTTATCATCAACAATAATCCTACTCGAACTAGAAAAATATTGTTCATAACAGAAAAGAAAACTTTCAGCTTTTGTCTCTTAACTAATATTATCATTAGACTGAGGAGTGAATTTCTAAGCTGTTGTCTTATTCTACCAATATAAAACTAATATTCAAATACACATTGATTTGAAATATATAAGTTGACGTTGTCAAATACTCATTGAATATTGTCTGTCACTCAATAGAAACTAAAATAAAGATCTTTATAACAAATAATACATTCACTAGAAGATTCACTTTACAAAACACTCTTTTATAGACATAACTGTTGTTCCATAAAATGTGGCTTCATATTTTTTTTTGGTAAAGAATCAAGTTTTTATAGTAGATTTATTTATATTGATCATGCCTCTATCGAAAGATCTTTAGCAGTATTAAATTCTATTTTGATTACAAAATGAACGTTGTAACTTTTATCTCGTTATATACAAGATAAAGTGCATAAAGAGTTTTTCTGTTATCTAGACAAGTTTTAAATGAATACTGATATAGCAGACTTTGAACGATGAAAGACTTATTAATTGACAGTTTTATTCTCTATCCAATGCTGTTTATGAGAGATATTCAGTTATTTAGATTTGAAATTAATTTCAAATTTTAAGACGTTCTAGAAAAATTTACTAAGTTTAAATTCAAAGTTAGAAACCATTTTTTCTAAATATGAAGTATTTTGGACAAAAGTGAACGCTAAACAGAAGAAAAACCATGAAGTTCGAGATAGTATTACATTTGGTCAATATCGAAAAAAGTGAACCTTGACCAAGTTTCTCATTTAATACGCCTATTGATGATGAAAAAATTCTTTTTAGATAACATGATTAGTAAAATCGAAACACTACCTAATGAAATTCTTCTTCATATTTTCTCTTGTCTAACATGGGACAATATGTTAACATCTTTATGGTCATTAAATGCTCGCTTCAATTCTCTCATATGTTTAACTCTTTCGATAAATGACAATCGGTTGAACAACGGCCTTGTTATAGCGCATGGTTTATCTTATAATAAATGTTGTTCAAAATTATTTCCATTGATTTTGAATTCATCATCTCTTTCTTCTTCTATTCAACGTATTCATTTTGATGGAACAAATTCAATATCTTCTGATCTTTGTTATCAATTGTTATTTAATAATAAAAATATTCTTTATTTTTCTCATCTTAAATCACTTATTCTTACTCAATGTGGATCAATTGAACCAGTTATTCAGAGTTTAGTTTATCTTATTAAATATCAATTAGATGAACTTACATTGACATTTGATTAGAATATATTCACACGATTTTTTTTTCTAAGAAAACGTTTGTCAAAGGTATCCTATAAAGGTAAACAATCATTTATTTGAAAGATTTTATTATAGAAGATAAGATTATCTCATTCTTGAAGATCAGTTTTCGAGAAAACATTTACATTGAAATTTATATGTAACAATTATTTTTAATCATTATTAATAAATGAAAATCTAGTAAAATGGTCACCTAGCTGTAGAACACGAAAATATGATAGGAATTTAAGCTAGCTTTTCTCATGTCTCAATACGTTCTATCCAATAAGTTACGTGTTAGCTTAGAAATTGATTTATCACATCATGAGACAATATGATAAATAATAACATCCAATTGAATAATTTATTGTTTTTCTTCCTATGCAAAATAAAAATAGTATCGATTCGTTATCAATTCTATCTAATAATTATCTTAAACATATTCTAGTCATGAATTTATTAAAAAGTCAACCAATTTTTATAATCATTCAGTTTAAATTTATTTTTATATTGTTCCAATATTTGATATTTTAATCAATTAAAAAAAAGAGAATGCGACTTTGTAATTTTATATAATTAAATTTTAAATGATAAAGAATTTTTCATACGAAAAGAACACTTTTGTTTTGAATGATAGAAAATCAACTGAACATGATCAAAGAACTTGTTTGTCGATTATTCTCTGCTCAATGTCAATTAACATCTCTTCGACTTGATATTAGCAACGAATTGTGTTGTGATTTTTTGCATCAATGTTTATCATCAAATTCTGATCTCTCTTCT